GTCTCTTATACACATCTTATATAATAGGGACATTGATAAAATCACATGACACGGTTGACGTATTGGAGGAATATAAGTATTTTATTGCACACGTCAAACGTGTCATTTGATTTTATCAATGTCTCTATTACTATTTAATTTACTAAGAACATACGTGCTCGCAATCACATTATTAAGACAAGGGTTTCCATTAGCAGATTTGGTCTGTATTTTTTTTTATAAAGCCAGACATTTTATAATTTGGGACCACAGAAAAATTCTCTCTATTAGAGGGGGGTCTTGAATTGGAGAAATCTGAAATCTGTGCATGTAGGCCTACATATGCATATTTAGATTATACATATTGAAACAAAATAATTTTAGGAAACTTACCGAGTTGTCGACAAACGACGTCTGCCTCTTCAATGCCCCATCCTTCCTCACATATTGAATACCAAGTGGAACCCATCTCGATTTCAACACGACCCATGTAGGTCCTTGGTCGTCCAACCAACCTCACATCCCCGTCTGAAAAAAAAGTGTTAACAGATATGCTGCGTGTGCTATAATTGAGTAAAAATTCGATAAAATCATCACTGTGGCTGGGGGTACGGTACCGGAAACCAAGAGTCCAGACATTCGCGATCCGGTAGCGGATTTCGACCAATAATAATAATAATAATAATAATAATAATAATAATAATAATAATAATAATAATAATAATAATAATAATAATAATAGTAATAGTAATAGTAATAGTAATAGTAGTAGTAGTAGTAGTAGTAGTAGTAGTAGTAGTAGTAGTAGTAGTAGTGGTAGTAATAGTAATAGTCATAGTAGTAGTAGTAGTAGTAGCAGTAGCAGTAGTAGTAGTGGTAGTAATAGTAATAGTAATAGTAATAGTAGTAGTAATAGTAATAGTAATAGTAATAGTAATAGTAATAATAGTAATAGTAATAGTAATAATAATAATAATAATAATAATAATAATAATAATAATAATAATAATAATAATAAAAATAATAATTATATGAATTTAGTAATGCGCAAATTCCAAATAACAATGATCAAAGGCGCAGGGTACGCTAGAGCTATAGTTGTTAAATGAGTTTTCAGGGAAGATTTAAATGCAGAGATAGAATTAGATGATCTTACTGGAAAAGGTAAGATTGTTCCAGAGACAAGCAGTAGCGGATGTAAAGATGCTCAAGCCGTAAGTATTATAATGATGGAACGGAGAAGGGGAATTGGGAGGAGGAGCGGAGGTGACGAGACGGACGGTAACAAGGAAGAAGTTCAGCAAGCTAGCAAGGTATAGAGGAATGCTTTAAACGTTAATGAAAGTATTTGAAACATAATGCGTTTGTCGACTGGAAGCCAAAGGAGAGTACGAATTACTGGGATAATGTGACAGTATCTTGGAGTCAAAGTATACAGACACGGGCAATCATGTTCGAGCGATGTATGTGACGTAATGACGAGATTAAGAACTCCAAGATAGAGCGCGATTCGCGAAAGAGGCATCATCATGGCGGCAATGTTTGCTGTTGTGGGGCGTCCAGAGATGTCCGAAAGGGGGGCCGAAAGTGGGGCCGAAAGTGGGGCCGAAGTTGGGCCGATCGACACACCACTATTCTAGGGGGTCCGGGGACATGCCCTTGCGAAATTTTTGTGTTCTAGACGCCCGAAAATAACATTTGAGGCGTTCCCGGGCTATAATTTTTTTTTCTTTTTTTTTTCTTTCTTTTTTTTTTTTTTTTTTTTTTTTTTTTTTAAAATAGGGTACGCTAGAGCTATAGTTGTTAAATGAGTTTTCAGGGAAGATTTAAATGCAGATATAGAATTAGATGATATTACTGGAAAAGGTAAGATTGTTCCAGAGACAAGCAGTAGCGGATAAAAAGATGCTCAAGCCGTAAGTATTATAATGATGGAACGGAGAAGGGGAATTGGGAGGAGGAGCGGAGGTGACGAGACGGACGGTAACAAGGAGAGAAGTTCAGCAAGCTAGCAAGGTATAGAGGAATGCTTTAAACGTTAATGAAAGTATTTGAAACATAATGCGTTTGTCGACTGGAAGCCAATGGAGAGTACGAATTACTGGGATAATGTGACAGTATCTTGGAGTCAAAGTATACAGACACGGGCAATCATGTTCGAGCGATGTATGTGACGTAATGACGAGATTAAGAACTCCAAGATAGAGCGCGATTCGCGAAAGAGGCATCATCATGGCGGCAATGTTTGCTGTTGTGGGGCGTCCAGAGATGTCCGAAAGGGGGGCCGAAAGTGGGGCCGAAAGTGGGGCCGAAAGTGGGGCCGAAGTTGGGCCGATCGACACACCACTATTCTAGGGGGTCCGGGGACATGCCCTTGCGAAATTTTTGTGTTCTAGACGCCCGAAAATAACATTTGAGGCGTTCCCGGGCTATAATTTTTTTTTCTTTTTTTTTTCTTTCTTTTTTTTTTTTTTTTTTTACCTTCCAAAAAAAAAAGGGGGGGGGGGGCCTTAATCCGCCCCTGCTGTTGGTGATGTGTTTACTTCTTAAGAAGAATTAATGTCGCAAACCAAGCGGTATCAGGCCGAAATTCTTTCTAGTACCGGATCTTCAAGGTCTAAAAACAATGGATCCGGTACTGGATCTTTAAGACCTGAAAATAACGGATCCGGTACCGGACCTACAGTTACAAGTTGTTCTTTTAACTACGATCAAATAGTTATCAATCTTTTACATAATATTTCTAAAAGCATTAAATTTATTACCAAATAAAATATTTGAAAGTTTATGCTAATAATGTTGATAAATATTTTAAAGGGGTTTCAGCCAATTTTTTTTTTTTTTTTTACAGACAGTCGGATTGTTGTACAACCACCGTCAGGTTGTAGGCCTATAGATATTATTTTTCTTATCAAAGAGCCAGTGAAGTTTGTTCCAAATGGGTATCGTCCATCCCAGTCCTCTTAAAAAGTACTTAGGCCTATAATACGGTCAATGGAAATGACGTACAGTACTATAAATCACTTATACGAATCGTAAGCATTGGAGTACGGTAATATTTTTGGTTAGAAAACCAAGTGTTTAGGGGTATTCGAAGACGAGAATCACTATGTAATGGCAGATGTAATTCATTCCCATCTTTCCTTTCATTAATTTGATTGATTTATTCGACTAAAAATTACAATTGCAATGACAAATAAAATACAATATGTGAACAAATTAAAATGCTGGTTAGGGATATCCTAAGCAAAGTACATTACTAACAGATGTTCCAGCTACCCCGAAAGAATACTTAATTTATTCGAATAATAATTGTTGAGAAGGGTTTTAGAGTGGGATATAGGCCCTATTCGAGGGAGGCGTTTATTTTTTTTTGGTTGTAAAATGGGTACATATTATACTAAAATAAACGTCCCTTAATTTCACTGTAAATATGGAATTCAAACACATAATTACCGTTGATCACAACCAGGTAAGAAAAAAAAATGTAATTCTACTGGAGTAGAATATTAATAAAATGTGTTGAGAGTGATGTTGCTTCCATTACTTTTGTTTGCAGACATTTATTAGGGAGAGGGCGTTTATTGGATGAATAAATAAACGCCCCGAGGAGTTTATTCAAATGAGGCGTTTATTAAAATGAGGCTCTGGAGGGGGCGTTTATTCGAATACATACGGTATTATTACACACTAAGAGATACAACATGACGTCAGAGAAAGGAAACGAGGCAGATAAGAAAGTGGATAAGTGAACTCAAAAACTATACAGTGTTAAAAAAAGGCAACGGAAAGCGCAGAGTATTAAACAGTCCTTCATCCTTCACTTTAACTAAAATAATTATGTTAAAATGTACTTTAACTGAAATATGCGTATAATTGCCTCAAAATAATAAACAAAGTGTTGAAATCAAAAGCGATAGTAGGCATACCATCGACATACCAATCATCGATACGGCATTTGCCAATAATAGTAGGGCGTCTCTTTATATGATTCATAATTAGGAACAACAAAAACCTGACATTGCTATTTTGGGCAAAAAATTAATTCGAAGAAACAATGTGATAACATAGTCATCAATCAGCCAGAGACACTTTTCATTAAAGGGCTATTCTTGATACGATTATCAAATTACATGTTCCTATTCGATCACTGTTATTATTATTTATTTGTTTATATTGTGTTTACAGTGCTGCGCAACAGACCTAATTTGAATATTATACAATACATAGATATTATTCAAAACTACAATTCTCAAGCATTCGGCGTTAGGTTCACGCATTCGAGTTCTGCCTCCCTCTCTCACGCTTAAAGACCAAAATCTCACGCATAAATGTAATTTTACCATTGAAAAACATTGTAATAATTTGCAAATATTCACAATGATATAGACAGCACTTAAAAAAGTTTGTTTTTGTCATCACATAATATTCGGACACATAAACAATTGTGACACTAACCTGGGGTGCAACGTGACTAAACTGTTTTTCATTACTGTATTATATAATTAAATTTTTATAGGATTTCATATTATGTGTATTATTCGAAAACTTCCCTCACTTGTTTCAGATCAGTATATACTAGCTACACTTCAGCTCTGCTCACATCACCCCCATAGTTATGATGTGTCTATATATGGTCCTGATGTGATGTTATCATGACCACATTTAGGCATATCACATGTTTTTTAAATACAAATTGACAGTTTGACAGGGATTTACACTGTGAATATGTTGTTTGTGGTCTAGGAACACTGACAACCAGCAGACAGGTTCGTGTGGACGGCCTAAACACAGTACCGATACCTTACATAAATTCTCCAAGGAAAAAAAAAAAAAAATCAGATATTTAATAGATTTTAATTGTAAAAATACTACCCTAAGTGGCAAGAATGCGTTTTCTGAGCATCTAGGAAAACATTTTCATTGAGCAGGGAAAAATTCACCCATACACTTCCCTCAACCTTTTCAGTCTCAGGAGGAGAAGTTCTCAGAGCAATGTTCACACCTAATAGATCGAACTGCAGTATTATTATAGTCTGCGCCGATACCGTTATCTGTGGTTTAACGGATGACACTTTCTTTAATAGCGGACTGCATGCGGCTTCGAATCCCGACAGAGACAATTTAAATTCGTTTTTTTTTTTTTTTTTTTCGTTGAAGGGATGTTTGATACGATTATACAGTAATAGCTTATGTTGTTATTCGGCATTATTCGATTTGTATATATGAGAAGAATAATAAGAATTCCAACAAATATTCTCCGGGCGTGTTTTCAGACATATAGAAATGTATGAGAAATGCTGATATAATAAAACATAGGCCTATGTGTAATGTATTTGTTCTACAAGATTTTCACCCAATAAAACAGAGGGATTTTTTTTATTCTACTGCTGCGGATATAATTGCAGTTTATTCACGCTTGGAAAACAATGCGATGACTACACATACGTGTAGGCCCTACTTGTACTGGGCATGCAAAACAACGTTAAACAAACGCAGTTCAAAACAAGTAATCTGACCAAAGTTGTAGAAATGTATAGAATATATATATATTTTTTTTTTTGGGCTGTTGCATGTGACTAATTTAAAATATCACTTGGTCTACAAAAGTGATTCTATCTACATAATGTTTTTTATTTTAAGCATCACAAAACGTTAGGCGTTGATGCTGAACTAATGACCACAATAATGAGGATGCGATGATATTTTAGGCGTTACTGCAGTGCTGACTATTGACTACACAGATAAAGATGTTGGCGATGACTATGATGATAATGATGATAATAATTACGTTGATGATGATAATGACGTTGATGATGATATTTTAGGCGTTAATGCTTACTAAACTTGACCAAATAATCAGGATGTTTGCGAGGGTGATGATAAAAATGATTTCTGCAATGGGTAAAATGTTAAATTATATTTATTGTTTGTGATTAAAACACTCTAATAATGATGATAGCAACAGCATAATCAATGCCGAGTACCTACCGTATATCAATAGGTTACAGCCAGGAGTTGTTATTTAACAACTCCCTGTTTATAGTATACAGGTATAGGCCTACTGGTATAAGGTTATAGTATACAGGTATTTCACTATGTACTAATCTGGAGGTGTAGTAAGGTATCACGGTCACTAACTAAAATTAGAACTACATGATGTACAAAATATACTGTAATAAGGATAATTTAACATGGTCCTGACACACCTTCAGTTGCCAAGGCGTTCACTTGTTTTAATTTTACAAACATTCTCTAGTAATTAATGTTCTTAATTTACTGTCATATTCTGCTTATTTTACTATTCCAATCCTCATTATATTATTACTACGCCGGGCAAAGTGTTATGAACATTAACCAAACGGAAACGGGATACTAGAATTATATAATCACACTAAATAACAACACATACCAGCTGCATAGGTAAAAGAAACGATTCCAAGAATAGTAAACACCCTGTCTCTTATACACATCTCTACACTTCAGCTCTGCTCACATCACC